GATGTGCAAGACCTCTGATCTCAGTTAGCTGATGGCTGAACCCCATGACGCTGACTGACCTCAGACTGCAAGGCCCAGATTGAGTTCCCCAACCTTCTGAATGGTTGAACTCCACAATGCTCTATTACAGGTTTCCCACGCCCTTTCCTTAAAGATGTTCAAAGTTGGGAACTCATAAAAATATGCCTGATGACCACCTCTGCCTCTGCAGAGTGGGTCCAAACACTGACACAGGAGGTCTGAGAGTGTGGTGGGGGGGACGACTTATGGGGGTCCAGGGGCACCCGCTCGGCTACCTTCCTGGTGCTTGAGAGATGGTGGCTGGGTCGGGAGCAGGCGTGGCTCTCCTTCCTGCTGTGGATTGGGGCCCAGGCTACCTCCCGGCGCTTGAGCGATGGCAGCTGGGTCGGGAGCACTATACTTTGGGCTTCTCATCTAAGAGAAACCATGTGATATCTAATCTTCTAAGTCTAACATATCCTTTAGCTTTATGGTGTCAAGGGACACCCATTTTCCTACAAATGTCTCAAATTCATCTGTCTTTATGGCTAAGTTGTACTCCATTGAGCCACTGCTCAATTTTTTTTGGGGGGTACCAGGGATCGAACTCCGGTCCTTGTAGATGTGAGGCAGGTAGCAGAACCACTGAGCTGAATTCCCAACCCCACTGCTTGATGTTTATAAGAAGAGAGAGAAGAGAATCTATCTAACTGACTGATTGCATCACTCAGGAGTCCCATAGAATGAGCAGCCAGAAGAAATTCATCTTCCCTGCCATTGATTTTCTTCATATCCTTAGAAAATCAACTTTCTCTTCTCATGTTCATTTTTGGTATTATTGATACAGGAATGCTAATATCTTCCCTTGAATCTCAGAGTGATGTTACAAGAACTTATTGTATTTGAGGATGCAATTGTTTTAATGCTATAACAAGCTGTTTAAATGGTCTCCTATCATGTTGCAAATGAGTGTCAATTCAGTCCAATGTCTCTTAAGCCACAGTAACAGTATGAAAGGGGAATAAAATCAGAGCTGATTCATGGAGGCATGAGGAAGCCAGAAGGACTTGCACAAGCCTTCCGTAAGATCCCCTTCCTTGACAACATCTACAGGTAAGTTTTAGCAGAATCTATGGGCACTAACCGAGTACAGTAAGAAAGGAAATGATCTAATCCAACCCACAGCTGATAGAGATGAGGAAACCAAAGCAAAGAGAATTGAGTGATTTTTCCCAAGCAACACAGCCAGTTCAGGAAGAACCTGGTACAATGAGCAAAACAGACTCATATGAATGGTCCATTTCTGTAAACAGATGAACCTTGCTGGATGTCATTGTCTGCGTAATAATATTCCCTTGGAGGTGTGCATGGAGGAAGAAATAGCAGCCAATGGCCCTCAGAAATCATACCAAGGTGACTGAATTTATTTTTTGTGGACTTACCCAGTCTCCAGAGGTGAGCTTACTCTTATTTTTCTTTTTATCTATGGTTTATGTGAGCACTGTGTTGGCAAATGTGGCCATTATGGTCACCGTGACCTGCGAGCCCTGCCTCCATACCCCCATGTACTTCCTGCTCCGGAACCTCTCTGTCTTGGACATCTGCTTCTCCTCCATCACGGCTCCCAAGGTCCTCACGGACCTTCTTTCCTGGAAGAAGACCATCTCCTTCAATGGTTGCATCACCCAGATGTTTTTCTTCCACCTCCTCGGCGGGGCGGACATCTTTTCTCTCTCTGTCATGGCATTTGACCGCTACGTGGCCATCTCCAGGCCCCTGCACTACGTGACCATCATGAGCAGGGGGCGCTGCGCGGCCCTCATCGCGGCCTCCTGGCTGGGCGGCTTTGTCCACTCCATCGTGCAGATTTCCCTCTTGCTCCCTCTCCCCTTCTGCGGGCCCAACGTCCTTGACACTTTCTACTGCGATGTCCCCCAGGTCCTCAAGCTGGCCTGCACTGACACCTTTGCTCTGGAGATCCTGATGATTTCCAACAATGGCCTGGTCACTACTTTCTGGTTTTTCCTTCTCCTTGTGTCCTACATGGTCATCCTGGCTATGCTGAGGTCTCACACGGGCGAGGGCAGGAGGAAGGCCATCTCCACCTGCACCGCCCACATCACGGTGGTGACCCTGCACTTTGTACCCTGCATCTACGTCTATGCCCGGCCCTTCACAGCCCTCCCCATGGACAAAGCTGTCTCCATTACCTTCACAGTCATCATCCCTGTCCTGAACCCCATGATCTACACCCTGAGGAACCAGGAAATGAAGTCAGCTGTGCAGAGACTGAAGAAAAAACTCATGCTTCCTCCCAGAGAATAGTCTCATTTATTGATTAGTGGCCAGATGGAAGTATAAAATTAAATTATTTTCCTAAAATATTGGTTGTGAAATGTTGGGACCTGGCCATGAATAGACAATTAACTATATAGCAGGAGAGCAAAGATACAAAAGGTCAGTTGACTTGCAGCACTGATTTAAAAAAAATCATAAAGCTAAGCAGAAAGGGTACAGACCTCAGGGAGCAATGAGAGCAAGCAGGAAGCAAACTTGCAGTGTAACAGCAGTGGGTGAAGGGCAGAGCTGCGGTGTTCAGACATGCAGTTGGCAGCCAGGGCATCTGTCTCAACCCCGCCAGACTCCAGCTGGGAGGTCCCAGTCCACCCGTGGCTGTCCTGTGGCTGCTGAGGGTGCACTATGCATGGACACTGTTGGGAGATGCTCTCTATCGCTTCTGCTGTCAGTACTTTTGGACTTTCTCTCAAAATCAGTTCACCTAGAAATTACACTAGCACAGCATGTCCCCCAAAGCATGTTGGTGTAAAGAGCCTTAGCTTTTAAGGGTTTCCTGTTGGTTTTCCCCCCTTGTGGCTGAATTGGGTTTGACTGGGGACTAGTGCAGTCTGGTTTCGTAAGTCTCACTGTATAACCACAGGAGTGGCAAGAATCCAAAACTGTCTATCCTGCTATTCCTAAGACCTCAGGCATAAGTCAGTTTGACTAGCTGAAAAAGTGAAAAGCTCTATCCAGCTCAATAAATACTTCTATTGTTCCTCTGTGCGCTTCTCTGTCATTTCCTTTACCTTGGTGTATCGCTTTGTCTCACAAAACTCTCAAACTACACTCCTTTATATTCCCATGTCTAGAATGTGCCAGGGCTAGAAGGGGCTGTAAGTCAATGTCAGCTGAATCTGTGGAATAAAAGGAAAGGAACGTACGGAGGACATATTACCAAATTCTAGTTCCATGGCTGTTCATTTTGAAGACTGACCTTCTTTCTTGAACACATAGACTTCTTTCAGAGACGCCAAGGAAATAGAAACGAAGTCAGTGAGTTGTGATGCCACACTCAAGGCCATTTTACCTGCGTGCGCCTTTGTGAGGTCAAGTCAAAGGTGAGATTCAGAAACCGTGTTGGAACTTGTATACACAGACAGGTATCTCAGAGTGAAGGGGTTTTTGCAGAATCATTCATTTTGAGTTCCAATGGGCCTATGTTCTGAGGATAAACAGACAGGCCCTGGGTACCTAAACTGAATTGCAATCGTGTACAGGAGGGTGAATTTTACTTCCTCCTTTCTCCTTCTGGGGCACCAAATGTAGGTAAATCAAAGTAAGAAGGTCATTGAAATCTGTCTAAAAAATAATTATTATTATCACAGTTATGATAATAGAGTCAGACAACTGATTTGCTAACAGAATTGCATTCTCTTATTGAATTTATTGAGCCAGACAGCTTCTGGAATTCAGAATCTCTTAGATTTTAGAAATATAATCAGTGTCCATATTGTACCCAATATTCTTTCCCCCCTGATGAGCAATCAACACCCAAACACATTAATATTTCTATAGGAAGATGTGTGAATATTCCTACTAAGTACAATAAATAAAAACTGTATGGTGTCACATTAATTCAGATCAAATATTGCCACCAGATTAGTTCAGGCTGGATCAAGTTTTACTTACAAGTGACTTTCTACAAATCTTTCTGCATGATGGTGCTTTGAAGATGTCTGTCTACCCGTGCAGAAGCTGAAAAAGAGAACGGTGCAGGGAAAGACCCTTACAGAGCCATTCATGTCCATTCCCTGGGGTCTGTGAGAAGCTGCCCAGCAGAGGGAAACGGAGGTTGCAGGATAAAATTACTAATGGGCCGATGTTAAAATTAGGGAAATTATCCTATGTATCCGGGTGGCCCCACTGCGGCAAGAGTCCTTAAAAGTGGACCTACTTGGACACAAGAAGAGTCCACCGAGGAACACCTGACCAGCCACTGCCGGCTTTGAAGGTGAAAGGGAACAGAAGTGGATCCGTAGCCCCGGAGTAGGAAAAGCAAAGCAATGGGTTCCGCCCTGGATGACCCACACCGCCAACACCTTGATGGTAGAGCCATGAGATCACTTGGAATTCTGACCTGCAGAACCGTAAGACACTGCGTTTGGGCTGTTTTATGCCATGAAGTTTCTAGCATTATTGTAGTAGTGATAGGAATCCAAAAGAAGGGCAAGGGCTTCAGCTGGGGGCTGAGAGGCTCTAGGAGCTGAAGAAGGAGAGGAAAAGAAGGAAGGGTGGAGGCAGAAGGAGCCAGAGGATGGCAGAGGCCTCTCTGGAGACCAAGGCCAGCAGCACATGGGCTTCCAGACCTCTGATTTGCTTCTTGTGACAGAAAGATCATTAGACACCAAGCAAACTGCCCCTGTGGTTTATGAAAAGCGGTATAGCGATGCAGGCTCAAACATTCATATAGCAACTCACCTCCTAGATTTACATGGAAAAGTCACCTGCTATTAGATACGTTTGCCACTCTGATAGCAGCCAAGTAGCAGAAACTAAACTCTTTCATGACATGTATTACACATACTCATTGGTTTTAGGATGAGTATTAATTTCAGAGATGCTAAAATGTGAAGGGAGGAAATGCTTCACCTTCCAGCATAAGAAATTCAGTACTTAAAGGTACAAGGTGATCAGCCCATGACACACACAGACAGACTTTTCCAAAGACAGAAGAGAACTGTAAGCAAGCTCTGCTTTCTTATTTCTGTGCTTTAAGAATACACAAGCGTGTAAGACTGGTATCAACTTACTAGTAAGAAACGGACCTCTTATAACTAGAATCTGATTATCTATGATGCACATCAAACTTTCTTAATATTAAAAGAAAGTTTGACATTCATGCTTTTATTCACTTCATAAAACCAAAATACTGGCTCCTCATTTTGAAGTCATGAAGATGCCTCCTTACCCTACAGAAACCCAATGAGATGAACTTCCCAGCTCTCGGCCCAGGGCCACTGGTTTGTTCCTGATGGATCCGGGCACATTTGAGGCTCAACAATCTTTCAATTAAACACATAGATAAATGCACTCTGACCTGGCAGCCTTCAAAGGACAAGAAGTGAAAACTCTCAAAGTTTCCAGTCTGGAAGGGAGCGTGTAACTCCCACAGGCACGGAGAGTCAGGGAGTCAAAACTACCCTGCTTGGGCAGAAAGTGAACAATAATTAATGAAAGTGTCTGCGATCCAGTTTTCTTTATCTTCCTGCCAGTCAAATCCAGGTGACAAATCGTACATAGAAAGAGATAATCCTCATTTAATGACCAGGTTCTGTCCCTGTGACCAGGTGATTACACGAATCGGCCACTAAATGAGGAATTGTATGTTGTATGTACTGGACATTACAACAAAGAAATGGTCAAAGGAAACTCCGACTTTGACTTCACTTTTACGTATTTACATCGCTCTTACACACGGTACCTTCATGTATGACAAAGCATAAAACTATAGAACTGTACTGCACAGTACAATCAGCAAGACTTACAGTACTCTATAAACAGGATGTACTGTAAGAAAAAGACACTGAGGCTCTTTAAACAAAATGTACAGAACTGTAGGAAAAAAAGATGGGTCAAAAGTCAAAGCAGCGGGGCGTAAGTTCAAAGAGTCAGTCGTAAGTCTGAACAATCATTAAATGGGTAAGTCGTTAACAAAGAATAACCACATACTTTTAAGTTTATGTTTATACTTGTATCTATAGTTGTATTTATATACAGCGGTACTTCGGTTCACAAACTTAGTCAGTGTCACGATCTTGTGAAATGGCTGTTTGTGCTTGTGTGGGGAAGACGGCTGCTGTTGTGTTAGTGACCCAACGTGGGGTTTGAACAGAAGCAAAATTTCATTGAACTCTTTTGTATAAGAAGCAAATTGTTTGTGAACAGAAGCATTTGTGAACCGAGGTATCGTTGTCTTTCAAATGTATACTTTTTATAATTTTCAAAACTTGAAAATGGAGCTTGGAAAGATTTTTGGCCCATTGTTTGTCATGTTTTAAGAAAAAGCTGGTTGAGCTGAGGGCAATGGGACTGATTTTCTCTCTGACCAGTAGATTCTGTCTCTGGCCGTTAGACCAAAGGTGGGTCTATTTCCGTAATGAGTCTTGAGTGTCTACCCAGGTGTGCTCCTTACCAATGAGCTAATAACTCCCCCTGGAACTCCATCAGCACAACGGAACTCCTGACCTCCCTGTCTGCAATACTCCTTCCTGTGTCTCCTAATAGGCCTGGGGCCGAGGGATTAGGACTGAGGCGGGCACACGGGAAACACAGGTAAGGTATAAATCAGGTGCGTTTCCTCTGAAGACTTTGGGCACCAACCCAGATGTGTCCTTAGGTGTGTGTGCGTGCACACAGTGGGACATCTGATGACATTCTCACACTTCCACTAAACCTGCATTGCCAAAACTGGACCCAGCCGCGGTCTCCTTCAGTGACGTTCTCTTTGCCCTTCTCACGTCAAGCCAGAGGCTGATGGGTTTGCACCTAAGATGAAGACGCTGCAGGAGAACCTTGAGGATGTGACCCCTGGAGTCTGCCCTTCCTTCCTGGAGGTACAGCAGGGCACTGAGATGTGTTAGTCCCCAGCGGACTTTACCCTCAGAAACAAAATGTTCAGAAGTTGTTACCAGATGTTAAGCACTTAACCATGTGCAGTTTTTTTTGTTGGTGGTGGTGTTTTTTTTTTTTTTTTTTTTTTTTTTTTTTTGGTACCGGGAATTGAACACGGGTCCTTGTGCTTGCAAGGCAGACCACTGAACTGCTGAGCTAAATCCCCAGCCCACCATGTACAGTTTTTAATCAAGTTTCAAGATTAAGGAAAAAAGTAGTCATTAAACTAGTAGCACAGGGTAAGGTGATGCATATGAAACGGAGTTGTTACTGATTATGGGTAACCACTTGCTTATTTTTCGAGTGTATTAAATGTTTCAGGGCCAAGATGACCATCTCAAAAAGAACACGACAGAGGCAAGTGTCACATATTG